AGACTTCACTTTCACTGGGACATGTTACACACTGGTGACGAGTATTCTCCTGTTGCAACCATCAAGGGGTCCATTAGTATTAGGTATGCACCATTATCATGATAAGTTTAGCAGTCTCTTTTGTGTCCTAACTACTTTGTGAGTCGTTTTTAGGATCTACCAGGGTAAAGGCATGCATATATAGGTTGAGTTTTTAGGATCTTTGGATAGCCATAGACATGAGAGAATAATCGTAGCTTACTGTTTGATGGTTGAGACTCTACGTGTCCTATTTTCATTATGCAAATTATGGATCATACCTTGGAACTCTGTGGAATCTGACATAAAAACAAAATTAATTGGCAAAACGTATCTTCATGAAATTTGAACACAAACCTTGAATTGCTTGCTTTCTGATGTCTTCAGAGGAGGTGCAGGGGACAATGGAGGCCGTTTCGGGGAAGCGGGAACAATGACTGGAAGAAAGTGTCCAAAGGGACTCTATGGTACATTTTGCTTGGTAAGTCTTATGGTTTATTATGGTGTAGTTACTTCGACACTGGCCACTTATGTCTTAGCCTTTCGTCAATTCTGCTTATCCATTATTCCAGCAACCAAATGGGAGTAACTAGCCACAAGTAGTGTTCGTTTAGCACCATTGCAAATCTCTGCCTTGTTTGCTTGTGCCTGATACTTCTCGATGTCTCTGGATTCATGTGTTGTTTCAGGAATGCCCCATTGGAACTTACAAGAATGTTGAAGGCTCTGACAAACATCTTTGTACACCCTGCCCACCTGAGCATCTTCCAAGTCGTGCAAAATTTGTATATGTACGAGGTATATTATCTTATAGTTCTCCTGCTCTTCGATCCCCCTATCTTGTGTTTCTTTTCAATTGTGATATCTTCTAACGGAAGCACCTTTGAATCCGCAGGAGGAGTTAGCGAACCTGTTTGTCCTTACAAATGTGTATCTGACAAGTACAGAATGCCAAACTGCTACACACCTCTGGAAGAGCTTGTCTATACATTTGGAGGGCCATTGCCCTTCACTCTTCTTCTATCCTGTGTGGTGATAGTTTTGGGTCTGCTGTTAAGCACATTAAGTATCAAATTGCTCAGATTAAGTTTCTATGGTGCTAGTTCCATTGAACACCAGAGTTCTCATTGTTTGCCCCATCTTCTGTCACTCTCTGAGGTATCTTGTTGCGGACATTGTCTTGTCCCACGTCTTCCCTTTTCTTGTAAGATATACAGATCCAGTATTTTTCAATCTAACTCTCTGGCCTGTTTCTTGCCATTCTAGGTTCGAGGCGCAAAATCTGAGGATACACAAACCCACGCTTACCGTATGTATTTCATGGGTCCAAACACTTTCAGGGAACCTTGGCATCTGCCCTACTCTCCTCCTGATGCAATCATCGAGATAGTGTAAGAATGTAACTTGACTTGGTCGAATATTGTTGCGATTGAATGCCATTGAATGTTTGAATGAAAGCTTAAGTTGCAAGCTCTTTGTGCTACGTATTTATTTTTTAAGAAGCATGTCTTTCTCTTTACCATTTTCTTGAAGTAGTGACTAAGCATGTCATTATTTCAGAGTCAATTTTCTTCAAATCTACCATATTTTGACCAATGTGACATTGGCTTTTGGCTCAGTTTTACTCCAGGAATTTCTACTTATAGTTTTGTACATTTCTGATTTACAGGTATGAAGATGCTTTTAACAGATTTATTGATGAGATAAACTCTACCGCAGCATATGATTGGTGGGAAGGGTCTGTGCACAGCATTCTATCGGTTCTTGCAAATCCTTGCGCCTGGTCTTGGAAGCAATGGCGTCGCAGGAGAAAAATTCATCGGCTTCAGGAATATGTCAAATCTCAATATGACCACTCTTGCCTCCGCTCATGCCGATCTAGAGCTCTCTACAAAGGGATGAAGGTTCAGATTCTTATTATCTAATGTTATGCTTGTTGCTTCAAAATTAGCTAGCTTTTACCCCGCGTGTTAATTTGTTTTGTCACCAACATCAAACCAGGTTGGCGCCACTCCGGATCTGATGGTTGCATACATAGATTTCTTTCTTGGCGGTGACGAGAAACGTGTAGATATGGTTTCTATTATACAGAAAAGATTCCCAATGTGCATACTTTTTGGTGGAGATGGAAGTTATATGTCACCCTATAGTCTGCATAGTGATACACTGTTAACAAATCTTCTTGGCCAGGTTCGCTTATACCTCTCTATAGATTCTTTTCCCAAAATCCTCCTCTCTGAAAATCTCCTGAATGTTCCAAATTACAATTGCAGCATATCCCTCCAAGTGTTTGGCACCGCTTTGTTGCCGGTTTAAATGCCCAGCTCAGGACTGTGAGGCATGGATCAATTCGTTCAGCGTTACTTCCTGTCATTAGGTGGATAAACAGCCATGGAAATCCTCAACTTGAATTCCATGGTGTAAGAATTGAACTTGGATGGTTTCAAGCTACAGCTTCTGGATATTACCAACTTGGTATCTTGGTTTTTGTTGGCGATATTCATTTGAACTCTGTAAACCAATCAATTCCATTCAGTAGAAGTGAAGACGAGTCCCCTCGGTGAGCCATAACAGTTTCTGCTTCTCTTTGACCTAATCTAGTTTTTGTCACTTGTCTCAGACTTAAACAAACTCACCTGCTTAATCGTAACTTCTTTTTCTAGGAACAGCTCTGCATGTCCCAGCAAAAGTCTTATCGAATTGCAACAAAACTTGATCCAACCAGGACATGGATTAGCTCGGAAGAGAATCAATGGTGGAATCAATGGAGGCCTCATCAATGAGATTTCGCTAGAATCTCTGGAGTACAGGAGGGATCTACTTTTTCCATTTTCTCTCTTATTGAACAATACGCGTCCCGTTGGTCGTCAGGTTACATTTTCTATTCTCCTGAACAACTCTATGCCTCATTTTTTGTTCTGTATTGTTTTCACTTTTGTGTTAACATAATCAAAATCTTCTTGTGGTGTATGCAGGATACTCTTCTTCGGTTTATCTCTATCCTTCTTCTTGCAGATCTTTCAGTCACGCTTCTTGCATTGCTTCAATTCTATTGGCTTGCCCTTGCAGCCTTTCTCGCTATCCTCCTGATTCTCCCTCTTTCTCTTCTTTGCCCATTCCCCGCCGGCCTTAACGCTTTATTAAGTAAAGAACTGAGAAGAGCCTCACTTACTCGTATTTACGCCCTTTGGAACGCTACATCTCTAACAAACGTCGTAAGTGGATACACATATTTCAAAACAACTCACCTCGGTTTCTCTCTTATTCTCAAAAGTAATATTTTTTTTTCCAGATTGTGGCTTTCATTTGCGGTGTCATTCATTCCGGGTTTTTCTCTGACCAGCTAGATGATAAGACAAACATCTGGAATGCCTTAAGGTAAATCATATGCCCTCATACTTTTCTGGAACCAGAGAGACGCATCTAGAGATCTATAACTATTTGTTGATGATTGATTGCTTTTGTTTATAAAACATCAAACTTCTTTACTTGAGATTTGTATTTAGATGATCTCAAAATTTTGTTTATGTTTTTGGCAGGGATGGTGATAAGTGGTGGGTATTACCAACAGTACTCTTGTTACTCAAGTCAATACAAGCTCGGTTCCTCGACTGGCACGTCGCAAATCTTGAAGTACCGGACTTTTCTCTTCTCTGTCCGGATCCAGATACTTTCTGGGCATATGAATCTGGAGCTTGACAAACAAAAACCCCATCATAAAGAAAAGAACAAGCAAATGGTATTTTTCATGTAAATCTGGTATAAAAAAGGTACAGGTTATCTTCAGTGATAGGTGTTTTTAAACAGTTCTCTAGAACATCTGGTTATATTTGTGGAGCAAAATTAGGGTTTTGCCAGATGAATGCTAGTTTTAGAAACTAGAGTCTAGAGAGTGAATGTGAGGTTATGTAATGCTTAAAGTTTTGCGACAATACATTGGAGGTAGAGCAGTGCGAAAACCAAACTGAACCTAAATATAAAATCCATCTATTTTTACATTCAGGTTTACAATTTTTGCTAAAAAACCAACAATATAGAACTACCAAAATCCGGATTCTGGACAAATCATCAAAGTTGGTTCAAGACTGAAATTCTGAAACTAGGTTACTTCATATTTGTCAATTGACAATTACAGACAGGCTTGACCATACAAAATAGTGATAAAAATAGTTAAGTGGGCCATAAATGAGCTTAACCGCTTTTAAGTTTAGGGCCTTACTCAGCTGATGTAAGCCCAAAGTTAATTCACGCGCCATTAACGCGCGTGATCATCAGAGTCTGAGAACACTTGAGCTATAGCAATTTTTAAGAGTTTTTTCAGATTCTCTCGCTCATCTACGAATCGTTTTTTCCCCGAAAGACTCATCACCACCAAATCGCCGCCATGTTCAGACAAGCTTCTCGCCTCCTCTCCCGATCTGTCGCCGTCGCATCGTCTAAATCGGTGACGTCTCGTGCCTTTTCAACGGAACTTCCGTCGACACTCGATTCGACTTTCGTCGAGGCATGGAAGAAAGTCGCACCGAACATGGACCCACCTCAGACTCCTTCTTCCTTCATGAAACCTCGTCCTTCGACTCCTTCTTCTATTCCGACCAAGCTCACCGTCAATTTTGTCCTACCTTACGCATCTGAGCTTTCCGGGAAAGAGGTCGGTTTTTCATTTTCTTTCCATCGTCGCTCCCATTTTGTTTTTTAGGGTTTGATCTAAGAATTTTTTCATTGTATGTGGTGTGTGATTTCATATAGATATTGGATTGTGTGTGTATTTGGTGATTCATTTGCGGATTTGTGAAAAATCACGAACAGCATTTCGGATTTCTTCAATAATTTTCTTACGCTGGTATTTGATTCATGATAATGTATGAAATGTTCTTATTAGGTCTTATGATCTCTAATTTTTGTTAGATCTGACGGCGCTATGTTTTTAGGGTTTTGATGATAAGAATGTTTTAGTTTCTAGATGCCTTTCAAGAATGGTTTTACAGTGAAGATTTGTGAACAAAAACTTGCACCTGTATGGATTTCGAATAACTTCAAATTTCCTTAGATACTCAGGTTAACCATGTCTTGTCTCTCAAAATGTTGCTTGTGAGTTTCTTTTTTTTCATTTCTGGAATGATTTTCATATTGGATTCATCACTGGAAAGTTGAGACTAGTTGATTAGTCCACTGCCTCTATATTCTTTGTTGATCAATCATCAAAATGAGATATTTGCATTGCAACTCTTAAAAGAGGTTTGCTATGTCTATTCATAGAAATGAACCCAATTTTAGTTTTATTTTTTTTAATGGCTTTTATGGTTTTCAATATTGAGTCTGTTTCATTTACAATCTATTATATACCTGGAAACTGTGAGATTCATGGCCAGTATCAATCCTACATGATGTTGAAAATCCTATGTGCTGACTGTTAAATATATATATGTGAATTGGTTTAGTTATGTATATCTATTATCTTCTGCTGATATATTGATGTGTTATCATGTAGACTGAATATCGGTTATATCTTACAGTATACTATGAAGATTTTCATATCAGTATCGTTTAGATATTGCATTTGGTGTGGGTATCTTTTTCATGTAGAATAATGCATTGAAATCTTATGTCTTTTTCAGTCATATCTTCTGATGCATTCTCCAACCATTGTGCCCTTGCTATATCATATTATTCTTTGATTCATACAAAATTGAAACTAACCCCTAATTCATTTGTTTGATTTCTTATATCTGTAATCATTACTCAAAGCTGATTGGTTTCTGTTCATCTACTTCAAGGTCGACATGGTCATCATCCCTGCATCGACAGGTCAAATGGGTGTTTTGCCCGGACACGTTCCAACAATCGCTGAGCTGAAACCTGGTATCATGTCCGTCCACGAAGGCACTGATGTGAAGAAATACTTTGTAAGCAGTGGTTTTGCATTCCTCCACGCAAATTCAGTTGCTGACATTATTGCGATTGAGGCCGTGCCGCTTGAACAAATTGACCCTAGCCAAGTCCAAAAGGGTTTAGCTGAGTTCACACAGAAACTTGCTTCTGCCACAACAGATCTTGAGAAAGCAGAAGCACAGATTGGTGTTGAGGTTCACAGTGCTATCAATGCAGCTCTCTCGGGCTAAAAGGAGGTTCTCTAATATTTCTTCGAAGAAAAAAAAAAACTAAATCATTTGGCTTTTCAAGTGATTGGTGAAGCCTCTTTTTACTACAAATGATGGAATAAATTAGAAATTGATTGTTCTTCTTTTTTATTTTGTTGTTTGAATAAATGATTTTGTTGAAGGGCACAAACCAAAAAAGAGTTTATTGTGTTCATATCTCTGCACTTTTGTTTCTTGGTATGACTTTGTTGTTGAGAAACTAAGTTTCGAGTTTATTTTTCAGGTTTCGTTTCCTAATAGTAATATACTATCTAAGAAGAACCTGAAAATTACTGGAATGGAGTCACWCTCTTGCACTTTCGTTTTGATATCATCGAAATCTTGTTAATCTAATTGAAATTTACAAGCGGAAGGTTTCTCATCTCTATGGGATTAAATCCCAAGATAAAAAATAGCGCTTTAGGTTCATGTACGGATCAAGAATCTGTATCTAAGATACTTTCGATATCTTTAAGCATGCATTAGTGCATTGCACTCAATAGCAGCTTTGATTTTGAAATGTGTCTTCCTCGCTGCTTGGTTAGATACCGTCATCCGTAAACCCGATAACACTGCTCGTCTCGCCGATGACGGAATCTTCATTCCTTCATTGTAACACGACAAGAGCAGCTTCGAAGCACATACGAGCCGCCCATCTTTGCATAGATTATGCACAACAGATGTGTAAGTGTATTCATCTCTAACTTTCATTGACGCAAACAACCTCATTGCGCGGTCTACGTGACCTGCTTTGCATAATCCATCAATCAAACAGTTACAAGTGACGACACTCGGCTGCATCCCGATCTCTCCCATACATCCCAAATGCTTCTCGGCTCCTCCCGTGTGACCTAGGCTTAATAGACCATTGACTATGATTGTGTGCGTGTAGTCATCAGGTTTCAATCCTTTAAGCTCTATCTCCTCCAATAGATCATCCGCTGCATCCAAGTTCCCATCTTTGAAATATAGATTCAACAATGTGTTATATGAAACAATGTCTTGACTCCGAGTACCGCTTCTCGCTAGCTCTTGCATACACTCATACGCCTCTTCTGCTCTTCCGGTTTTCATCAAAGCACTAACGACTGCACAATTCGCATACCCGTCAAACGTATGCCCTTCTTTCTTCATTTGCAAGAAAAGCCGAAGCCCTTTCTCAATCCTCTTGGTCTTGAAATACAGTTTAAGCATTGTTGTGTATGTAACTGCGTTCGGAGTGTAACCCGATTTCTTGAGTTCTCTAAACATCCAATCCGCGTAACGAACCCTTCTGGATTTACAAAGACCATTGATGAGAATGTTATACGTCATGAGCTCGGGTTTAACACGGGTCTTTAGATGTTTAAAGAGCTCAATAGCATTGTCCGTATGACCGCTTTTGCAGAGCGCATCGAGCAGAATATTGTACGTATCAACACCAGGAGACAGTCCAGCGAGATGTACATCCTCGTGAAGAATCTGAAACGCTTCACCGTGTCTCCCGAGCTTGAAGTAACAAGACATCAAAGTATTGTAACTCCACATATCTGGAGATAAACCTGAGTGAAGCATTTCGTCGAACAGTTGGTGGACACGATTCAACTTCAAGTGCTTCGCAGCTCCAGAGATCAATGAATTATACGTAGTAACATCAGGTTCGATTCCAGCTTCTCTCATACGACGAGTTACAGCGTAAGCTTCATCGATTCCAACGAATCGAGAGTAACCATTGATTAAAGTGTTGTAAGTGACAACATCAGGAAGAACACCTAATCTGATTCCGTCTATGATCAGTGATTCTGCTTTCTCCAAGTTACGAAATTTGCAGAGAGAATCGACGCATATGTTCATTAACTTTGTGGAGATTCCTGGAAATTTCACCAATCCTCGAACCATTTTTCTCCAAATATAACCAAATCGAGTTTGACCATTAGAAGAATGGTACATAACCAGATTTTCCAGGAAAAAATTCATGTATTTAACATTTTAATAAAGGCATCAAATAAGAGATGAGTGAAAAAAATCATACGACTTATGTTTAAACGACGACGGGTTTCTGATATTTAATTAACAAGTTCGTATAATTAATATAACTACTTAACGAATACA